GTGTGCGGCCCGGCCCACTGGGGCTACGCGCTGGGCTGCCGGGGCCGCGGCCCGGACGAGTACGAGAAGCGCTACAGCAGCGCCTTCCCTCCGCAGCTGAGAGCCCGGATGCGCGACCTGGCGCGCGGCATGTTCGTCTTCGGCTACGACAACTACATGGCGCACGCCTTCCCCCAGGACGAGCTGAACCCCATCTACTGCCGAGGCCGGGGGCCCGACCGTGGGGACCCGTGAGTATCCCGCGCCCAGCGCCCCACACCCTTCCGTGCGTCCACCCACTGATGCTGGCGCACCTGGGTGCTGGGGTGTCGCTGGCTCCGGGGAGCGTGGGTGGGCTGGCGGCTGCCCTCCTAATTCCTCCGCTGACCTGCCTGGCAGCTGTCCAGCACCGTCTCTCTTACACCTGCGGGAAACAGGCCCACCGAGAGGCAGGGGCTGTTCAGGGAGCGTTAGTTAGACCCTTTAGCCTCCTTCAGCCCCAGGTGAACAATGTGTGGTCTAACTGAAACCTGGATCCGCGCCTTGGGAAACACACCTTTCGGGCCCCCTGCGAGTCAGATCGCCACGCCCAGCGCTTTTCTCTGTCAAAAATCCGGAGTTGGTTTGGGAAGGGACTTGGGAGTTATCCAGTGAGTCTGAGATAGAGCGAAGTTAGAGCTTTCCTCCTCCAACACGGATTGCTTCTTAGACTGAGGGCAGGTAGGTACGAAGGAGTCCAGCAATCTGGCCGAGATTTGGGGTCCAAGGACTCGAGTGAGATTTCTAGGATATGCTTTGTGCTTCCTGCCCCTTAAGTTCTCCCATCCGAGGCAGGCAGAGCTGCCTGGAAAGGTCTGTTATACACTTGCGCCAGCCCTGTTTGCCAAGGGTGACTGAGGTCGACATCCAGGATGACAAAGTCCTAGAGGGTGGCACACCACACGGAGGAACTTTTTGCCAGGAGGGAGGGCCACTGGTCCTGCTTGTCAAGGTGATGGACGACCTTTCTCTGGCTCCCTACCCATAGGTGGGAGGGGAATAATTTTATGGCTCAGTGGCCAGGGCGCTTACCCCTGGGCTGTATGTCCTTGGACCCTTAAGGTGAGTGTACCGAACTCGTGTTATTGAACCCTTATTAACCTGTCTATTATTTGACTGAAAATTGAGTCATGGGGTGAGTCTAGCTCCAGATCAGAAGGCTGACCAGGGCCCATAGTCTTATGGGTTCTGCTGGTCTCTATCCAACTAGTAAGCCTGGTTCTCTTTTAAGATTTTGAGTTTTGTTCTACATTTTTCTACTCCCTCCAGGCCTTTTAAATGTGATCCCTGTCTGAGTAGTTGGTCGTGGTAGCTGGGTACCATATAGTTCTTCAGGCTTCAAGGTTCTGGAGGATGATGTTTGTGTGGTCTGTAAGTTCATTGGACTTGTTGTTTCCTTGTATCTTTTCATTTTCATTACCCTTCTTTCCTCTGGATGGGGGTGATCAATTCCATTTACTCAATGAACTGTTTGAAGCCCAGAGTTAGGACAGTTTGACTAGAGAAACAAATCCAGTGACACTCATATATGTGAAAGAAAGAGCTTTATATAAAAAGTAATTATAATATCAAGAAAACATCCCAGCCCATTCCTCTCAAGTCCATAAATCCAGTATTAGTCCATAAGTCCCTCTTTAGACTCACAGCCACATGCAATGATGCAGAATGCACAGGCTGGTGGGTGCAAAGTCATGTGGACCCAAGGTCCGTGAAAACATGGCAGGGCTCAGGCAGCTCTCAGGATGCCCAACAAGCAGGAGAATCAAGGGTGAGGGGGATGCGGGGTGTGGGGTGTGTGTGTGTGTCTATGTTTTCTTGGGGTGGTCCTTATGAGAAGGCCATGCCCACAAGGAGGTACCTTCAGTTTGAAACCAGCAGCAGGTGTGTGGGAGGAAGACTGGGCATTTTATTCCTGTAAACAGAATCTCAGAAAGCCACACAGGTCGCTATGAGTTAGCAAGGACTTGCTGGCAGTGAGCTAGGTTGTTTTGAGAATAGGTTTTAAAATCAGGAAGGGTGAAACCTCCTATGTTGACTTTTAACCTTGTTTAATTATTTGTGACCTCTTATATGCAGGTGAGGCATCGTTTTTCTACTTCTATAAAAAAAAGCAGTTGGAGATTTGAGTAGGATTGGTTTGAATTTATAGATAGTTTTAGATAATATTGACATCTTAAGAATACTAAGTCAGTACGGAGTGGAGACCCAAAGCCCATCTGTGGAAAACTAAACATCCCCTTCAGAAGAGTCACAAGGAAGAGACGACCCAGTCAGGGTGCAGTATTGCACCGATGAAACATACAATTTCCTCTAGTTCAGCGGTTCTCAACCTGTGGTTTGTGACCCGTTTGGGGGTTGAACGACTTTCACAGGGGTCACCTAAGACCATCGGAAAACATACAAGTACCTGGCATGAAGACTGTTACGCATGCTACACCATGCTTCAAAACAAAATTTCAATTATTTGTAATTAGAAATAAATATTTCACAATATAGAATTACATATTGTTTTTGAGATTAATCACTATGTTTCAATTGTGTTCAATTTGTAACAATGAAAATACATCCTGCATATCAGACATTTACATTATGATTCATAGCAGTAGCAAAATTACAGTTATGAAGTAGCAACGAAAATAATTTTATGGTTGCGGGTCACCACAACTTGAGGACCTGTATTAAAGGGTTGCGCAGCATTAGGAAGGTTGAGAACCACTGCTCTAGTTCTTTAATGCTGCACTCCCCACCTCCACACATGCTATCATGGCACCAATTCTACCTTACAAATCTGGCTAGACCAGAGCAGGTACACTGGCACAGATAAGAGCTGGAAACACAGAGAATCCAAGACAGATAACCCCTCAGGACCAATAATGAGACTAGCAATACCAGGAGGGGAAGGGGAAGGTTGGGGAAGAAAGGGGGAGCCAGTAACAATGATGGACATATAACACCCTCCCAGGGGGTTGGACAACAGAAAAGTGGGTGAAGGGAGATAATCAGTCAGTGTAAGATAAGAATAAAAAATTTACGAATTATCAAGGGTTCATGAGGGAGGGTGGGGAAGGGGGAAATGAGCTGATATCAAGGGCTCAAATAGAAAGAAAATGTTTTGAAAATGGTGATGGCAACATATGTACAAATGTGTGTGACACAATGGATGTATGTATGGATTGTGATATGAGCCCCCAACAAAATGATTTTTAAGAAAACTAAGTCTTCCAGCCCATGACTATGGAACAGCTTACCCTTTATTTAAGTTCTCTTTAATCTCTTACAGGAGGGCTTTATAATTTTTGTTTATGTCCTTTACATCCACAGCTATTTATTGCCAGGTATTTCTAGGTATTTTATTATTCTCCTAATTTCCCTTTCAGATTTGTCATTGCTGGTGTCTGGCAACCGAGCTGAGTTTTGTCTGCTGCAACTTTGCTAAGATCCTCTGAAGACATTTTCTTGCAAATTTTCTGAGATGTTGTATATGTAAGATCATATCATCCGAACATAGAGATAACTTTGCTCCCCTTTTCCAGTCTGGATATCATTTATTTGTTTTTCATGTCTTACTGCTTGGCTAAGGCTTTTGACACAGTATTAAATAGAAGTGGTGTGAATTGTTCCTTTTCTTGTTCTGATCTCAAGGGGAAAGCTCTTAGACCTTTCCATTAAGGATGATGTTTAAAAAACAAACAAAAAGGATGACGTTGGCTGTTGCCTTTTCATAAATGTCCTAAGTAATTTTGAGAATTTCTCTATTCCAATCTTCTTGAGGATTTTCATACAGAAAGACTGTTGGAATTTGTTAAGTGACTATTTCGTATTCACAGAGGTGATTTTATGGTTCTATATCTTTATTTCATTGATTTTTTAAAATTTTAATTATTTTATTGGGGGCTCGTACAACTCTTATCACAACCCATCCATCCATCCATCCATCCATTGTGTCAAGCACATTTGTACATTTGTTGCCCTCATCATTCCATTGATGTGTATTATGTTGATGATTTAAACTTTTTTTAGGGAAAATACCTTATTCAGTTTGGAAAAAGAATGTCTAAAATTTCTCCAGTCATAGTTGCTTTTAATTTATCTTTCTTTTGTTAGTCCTTGCCTATACATTTTTTACATTGTGGAAATCACCATGTATATACATCTTTTCCTCCAGTATATATATATATATATATTTAACTAGTGCTCACAGCGAGAGCACTTTGAGTAAGTACCCTATTTTCTTGGAGTTTTCTTCTCAGACTTCCTTTTATGAGGTGGCAGTAAGGAAAACCATTTATTGAAGAACTGTGGGGACACTTTTAATTGTTTGGAGAGTGAGTTGCTGACATTTTAATGCTTTTCTTATGAGCCTTAAGAACTCTGGAGTATTAGAGGACTTCTCCAGCAAGGTGAGGTGGTGGTTGATTAACTGTGCGCCCAGCAGTAGCCAACTGTAGCCCCCGAGGCCTGGATTTCAGGATGGTGAAACAGGAGCTGGTTGGTTGCACAGCACAGTCGGTGGTTGAAGTTAAGGTCATCGTGTTGTGGGGCAGGTATGGACAGTGTGGTAGTGTTAGGCCAGTGTTAGAAACACTGGGGAAAGGAGCACTGGGGAGGGTTGTGCCCCAGAAGTTAGCAATAACAAGTCTGTTGGTTGGAAAGCCTTTGTGCCTTTGAGGGAGATGTAAAAGTGTAAAGGTAACGGGAATAGTTACGGTGGACTTGAGTAGACCTTTTCATGGGTCGCTTACAAGGAATGCAAACTGTATTTTTTTTCTCTTTCCCCTTCTTTTAATTTAGCTTCCTTCAGACTTTGGCAGTTTTGAGAAGCATTTAGACTCAATGCTTGGCATTGTTGCTCTGAAATAATAGGTCATGTTTTTATCTCCCAATAAGTAATTTCTAATCAAAGTCATTCAGATTTTCTGGAAACTTTATTTTAATGATTGCTATTAAATAAATGATTCATTAAGAAGTATGAACTAGTCATTAAAATAATACATTATCATGGAAGCAAAATATGGATGCTAACCAGTTATAGTCTCCTGGGTGGTATAGCTAAATGTTGACTCCTAGCCAAAAGGCTACAGATTCAAACCCACCAAGAGGTTCCAGGAAGACAGACCTGGCAATATGTTTCTGAAAGGTCACAACCTTGAAAACCCCATGGGGCACAGTCCTCTGCACACCTGGGTCATCATGAGGAGGGATCTACTCAGTAGCAACTCAAACAACAGCAAACAGTGTATGTCTTAGTCACAGCTGACTCCAGTTTATCCCTTGACTGTCTTTTAGATTGGGATTGGTGTGAAGGGTTAACATGAAGTCCCACTTACAAATTACTATGCAAAATTCGTTTCTCTCAACTCCCAACATGAGCTGTGGAATCTGAACTAAACATTTTTCTTTGCGTATATTTGGATATTACATTTTTATAGTCTTGTGATGCACCACCATCCAGTTGATTTCAACTCAGTGACCTTATAGGACACTTTGGGTTTCAGAGACTGTAACTATGTGTTAGTCTGGGATGACTAGAGAAACAAATCTAGAAACATATCAGAAAGAGCTTTATATATAAGAGAAATTGGATATTGAGAAAACATCCCAGCTCAGTCCAGATCAAGTCCATGAGTTCGATATTAGTCCTTGTGTCCGTTACCAATCTATAAAGCCCTCTTCAGACTCACGAAACACATGCAGTGACGCCGAGTGCAGGAAGATCACAGGCCGTGGGTGGAAAGTATTGTGGATCCAGTGGCAGTGGAAACATCTCAATGCTGGCAGGGCTCTGGCTGCACCAGTGTAGCTCCATCAGGCTCTTAGTCAGTAATGTCTCATAGGGACTGAGTGGGTCCCTCCTCCAGCAAGCTATTTATCTCCTTATCAAGCTGTAACCTGATTGACAGGCTAAACTCCACCTCTTCAGTCTTAAGTCTCAAACTGATAACAGATTACTTAGCTACCACAATCTATTTATGAGAGAGCCTCATTTTTCTCCTGCAGAGCATCAGGTTGTTTCAAGCTATTGACCAGTGGAATCCACTCCTCTTGGCCAACTCTGGTAACCTTGTGATCAGTAGCTACCTTCAACCCTTGAGGACCTACCTGGCTGTTTTCATTTTCATCTCAACCATATTGAACAAAACCCCCCAGAAAAACCCAACCATCTCAAAATAGCAAAGCAAATAAATACTGGCCCTAAGTTAATTCCTTCTGAGACACCCTCATTTGGATCACCACATTCATCTTTCTACCTCCTTTAGAATCAGGCTCACGTCTTTTTTGAGGACTCCAGTAAACTGTTAGAGGATGACTTTCTTTGATTTATTCAGTTCATTTTCTCCCTTTCCTTTGAGCTGGTTTTCCGCAGTTTAATATTGCTAGAGGAGCCTGTAGTGGTGGTGGTATTGTTGAAAGGATGCAACCCTGATGCACACCTTTCCTGATTTTAAACCATCCAGTATGCCCTTGTTTTGTTTGCACAACTGCCTCTTGATCCATGTACAAGTTTCTCATGAGCACAATGAAGTCTTCTGGAATTCCCACTCTTCTCGTGGTTATCTATAGTTTATTATGGTCCCCACAGTTGAATGCCTTAGCACAGTCAATAAAACCCCAAGTAAACATCTTTTTGGTAATATCTGTTTTCAGTCGGGATCTATCTGACATCAGCACTGATATCCTTTGTTCCACTCCCTCTTCTGAATCTCATCTGTATTTTTGGCAGCCCCTTGTCAATATATTACTACAGCCGTTGTTGGATGATCTTCAGCGAAATTGTACTTGTGTGCGATATCAATGATATCGTTCTATAATTTGCACATTCTGTTGGGTCACCTTTCTTTGGTATGGACACAGAAATGGATCTCTTCTAGTCAGTTGACCAAGTAGCTGTCCTGCAAATTTCTGGGCATAGATGAATGAGTGCTTCCAGTGGTTCCTCAGCTTGCTGAAGCATTTCCTGTAGTGTAGTGGTTATGATTGGGCTGTTCTGTCCTGTAGGGCCACCATGAGGCCATGAATTGGATTCAATTCCATGGCAGTGACTTTGGTTAGTTTTTGTAGAGAATTGAGTACCTTTCCCTTTGTTCTGTCTCCCAGGTTTTCAGTCCTTTGATGCAGTGATTGTTTCTTACTATTATCTCTGTGCCTACACAGCACCAGGTAGATTTCTAAACATGTGTCAACAATTCAGTATACTCATGTGGATTTTTTTTTTTGTAACACCAACATGGGTAAGTAACAAAGTACGCTACAAAAAAGTACTGCTACAAAATAAAAAAGTTTGATTAAACCAACATATTAGATTGTGAGGCTATTGTTTCTCGACAGAGCCATCTAGGTCTATGCACTTCTGAAGGTGGCATTCCCATCTCTAACTCGTCCTTGAAAGGATTCTCTGCTCTTTGATGTAGTCCGTGTCAAAACAGCAGTTCTGGTATCCTTGAGGGGCCAAAATTTGATCTTTAAATGTTCTTTGAGTTTTGTGAACAAAAAGGGGCAGGATGAGGGCCATAGGGTGGATAAAGTAAGTTTTCCCAATGAAATTCTCCTAGGACAACCCTTGTTATGTGTGACGAGGGAGCAGGTGCATCATCATGATGGGAAAAATAAACTTCCACGGCACAATTCTTCTGGGCTTTTCTCATCCTTGCAGTTGTTCATTTTCTTAAAATTTCATTGTAATCAGCTGCCAGTAGTGTCCTGTGTTCTTTGGGAACTATCTATCAAGATTACCCCTAAACATCCTGATAGACTGTGTTTACTGCCTTGAATTTAACTGGCCCCGCAGATCCCCTTGGAAGCCACTTTTTCGATTGGACCTTTTGTCTGAAGACACCCTAACGAAAGAAAGACAAGTGTATTCCTGAGAGATGTCAGCAGCCATTCCCTGAGCTCAGAGACATGATTAAACAGATTTTGTTTAGAATAAACAGTACTTGAGTAGACTTTTTTAGCTTACCCACGATTGTTTGATTTTCTTAAATACATAATCAGAAAATTTCTATCAGAGGCTGCTTGTCTCCCGTCTTTTCTGTCTTAGGGTAGCAGGACCCTTTAATTCACAGTTGGGGAATACCATGACCATTTAGTCACACTTGGCAGTCAAGTTGAGAGTCAGTTCTGGACACCACAGCTCAGTCAGGATGTACACGTTGGAGCCTCATCTTTTGCTGACTTGGATGAGGAGGGTGGGTCTAGGATCCTTAGCCCAGCAGAACGTTCTTGAGTTAACAGAGTTGAGCCACCTGTGTGTGCAGACCTCCTCCCCCAACATTTGACATCACCATATGCTTTCTGGCAGGCCTGTCTTCCACCACAGCTTTCATTTTCTGAGGATCTTTTTGCTGTTTCACAAACTTATTTAGAGAAATGTTGAGCTAACAGGTGCAGCTTTCAGGCAGACAGTTGGTGTCCTTTATATGAACCGAGGCAAGAATCATAGGGGCCTTCTCCCCCTATAAACAGGATGTACATAAATGTTTCTGCCACACACCTTCTACCAGCCCCCAAATGAACACCAGCTTATGGTTTTGAAACAATCTCAGGAACTCTGTGTTCTTCCTAGAGTTAATGAAAATAATGGTATTTAGATGAAGGAATGGTATAAAGAGGTTATCCCCCCAGCCAAAGGGCAGACAATGACCCATGCTGAAGGAAGGAGATTCTTTTTGTGCGTAGCCTGTCAGAGTGTCCTGTTTTTGTATAAAAGAATTATAGGTAGCTCTTAAGGTAGTGTCTCTTACTTACTTCCAATGATTGTGAACTCAGAGCTTTTTGAAACTGGACAAGATCAAAGTGAACATTTATGGTGATAAAGCTCTACATCTAAGAAGGCAAATGACCCATACCCAGTCTCCTACTTCCTGTTGAATGTTCTTGCCACTACTGCATCAGTAGTGTCTCTCATTTCTGTTCTTACACGCTGCCAAAGTTAGCTGTCACAGCAGAGAGAGGAAGCTCTTTGCCATACTGGTCCACCCCTAATGAGCCCCTAAATAAGAGTTGCTGGAAATTTCAGATCCTGATGGGTGTTTAATTCTCTTGTCTTTATTTTTCTAATGTATTAAAAACAAAACAAAACAAAACTACCACTACTCAATTTGATTTAGTTTCTTTTTTCTTTTATTTCTTTTTCAGTTCAAATCTGAACATCAATGATGTCCTAGGGAACTACTCTTTGACTCTTGTTGACGCGTTGGATACACTTGCAGTAAGTGCTCAGTCTTATTGTTTTTTCTTAATATCTAAAGTGAGATGTTTTAGATCTGATTACCCACCGGACGCCTGCAGGGACCACTTCCAGAGATCCTAATACTTAAAATAGGGCTAGCTATTTCTATGAATGATGCTAGTGAGGGAAAAAAAAGCACAAGAGGTTAATTAAGTTAGGGGAATGGAGCAGAAGTGTCTTTTTGTAATGGTCTCGTTTTTTTCCCTCTCTTGGTTTCCCACTGTTTGACTCCCAGAAGAAATCTGTAGAGCAGTGGTTCTCAACCTGTGGGTCGCAACCCCTTTGGGAGTCCAACGACCCTTTCACAGGTTGCCCGATTCATAACAGTAGCAAAATCACAGTTACGAAGTAGCAACGAAAATAATTTTATGGTTGGGGGATCACCACACCATGAAGAACTGTATTAAAGGATTGCGGCATTAGGAAGGTTGAGAATACTGACATGGAGAATGTTGTTAACGCTGACTTACAGTTTCTGTAGTTGAGATTTCAGGAGTCAGAAGGTTCCTTGAAGTACCATGTAGTGACTGAGGAAGTGGGACTGAGTCCTGGGTGGGCTGCCTTGCTGTGCACACTCTTTCATTGCCTCCCTCCTGACCACTGACCCCTGGCCTTACCATGTTTGTGCTGTGGCTTGGGTGTTGGCCCCCATCTCCTGGGTTCCCACACTGCCTGTGGGGAACTAGAGACCCTTGGACAGATTGGCAGGAAAGGTCGAAAACTGGAAGCCACTGTGGAAATGTTACTTATTATCAGAACCAGCCTATGTGCTTGGTGGGCTTCATGTCCTTGGCCTGGGTAGACTGAGGTTTCCTGAGGCCCGCCAGCATTGTCTGTAAATCTCACTCGTTGATTAGCAGGACCTCACTGTCCAAAATTCTTACTGCAGTTAACTCAAGTTCTCCATTCACTTACTTACGCTTCACTTGAATTGGGAGAGTTTGTGGCTACTTGCTAAGGTGGGGATGGGATAATGCTAGCTGAGTTTGTATGGTGATTGGTTCTTACTAGTAACAGAATGACTAGAATTTGGAGAGAGCCCGAAGACTCTCTTCATTCTTTATTTTAGAGAAGTAAGTAGCAGAAATGGGACTAGGCCTCTGGCTAAGAGGAAACCCGGGATATATATGCAGGGTTTTCTTGAATGTCTGTCTGTCAGCTGTAGCTGCAGCAGGTTTCCCAGTGTCTCTTTTGGAAGGACTGACTTCTGCTCTCCTTCCATCAGTCTTCCACCGTCCCTGAGCAAAATGTGCCCAGACAAGTATTTTCAGCTTAATTGGACACCAGAGCTTGACTCAGCTACAGGTGTTGCTTAAGAAAAATCCCTACAATTTATATACGTAGTTCAGTCCTGCTTCCTCCACTCCTCCCCCTTTGCCCCGCTCCCCCCTTTGCCAAACTCCTGAGTGCCTTGAGTACAGAGATCTTTTGTGTACTTTCTCCCTCACACCTGATGATGCAGGCTCTGCTTTATCATAGAAGTGCAGATACTTGCCCAACGAGCACAAACTCCCAGCGTTTCCTGGCACAGGTTCCAAAGGTATGCTCCCTGAAAGAGCAGTTCTGTTCCCAAATAAACTTGAGGAATCTGTATATCTGCCCCATGGTTACTAGGGGCCCTGGTGGCATAGTGGTTATGTGTTGGGCTGCTAACCACAAGGTCAGCAGTTTGAAACTACTAGCTGTTACTCAGGAGAAAGATGAGGCTTTCTATTCTGGTAAAGAGTTACAGTCTAAGAAACACCCATGGGCAGTTCTACTGTATCATCAGGGGTCATGATGAGTTGGAATTAACTTGTTGGCGTGAATCTGAGGTTGATCCCCATTGTTAAGGGGCCCAGATGGCTTGTCTGCTAATTATGTGTGGTCAGTAGTTCAAATCCACCAGCTGCACTGAGGGAGAAGGTTGAGCCTATCTCCTGTAAAGATTGACAACCTCATAGCATCGCTCTGAGTTGAAAGTGGCCTAATGGCTGTGGGTGGGCTCTGCTATAGGCATCTGGGTGGTCCAGATACGTAACTGGCTCAGTTGTTTAACCAAAAGGGTGGGGACTTGAGTCAACTCAGGTGTTTTGGATGAAACGCCTGGCAAGTGCTGAAAAAGCAGCCCTGGAAAAATATATGGGTAGAATTATATCTCCTGAAAATATGTGTACTAATCCTGACCTTCGTGTCTGGGTTATAATCCTATTTTTGAATAGGTTGTTTTGTGTTAAGTTAATGAAGTAGGATTAGTGTTGGGTGTGTGCCGAGTCGGTCTCTTTTGAAATATAAAAAGAGGTTCACTAACCAACAGAGAGAGAGAGAGATGGGGTGAGATGGAGGCCAAGGCACCCAGGGAGAGATCTCTAATGTACTGACAAGCAGGAGCTGGAGAGCCAAGGACTGTCTCCCAGAGGCGATGGAAAGAGCAAGGCCACCCCGAGGGCCAGTGCTTGGAACGGGACTGGTAGCCTCCTGAGCTGTAAGAAAAACCCTGTCTGTTCTGTGAGCAAGTCGTCAACTCGGGGGCCCTTCTGTCATACCAGCAGTGGCCCGCAGCCGGAACAGAAACCCCGTGGAGCTCAGCTCTCCAGTGACAACACAGAGGAAGGCCTGAGCTGGAACTGAGGTTTGTCTCACTGCTGGAGTGTATGAGCCTTTTTGAGACTGAGAAATCCGGTAGTGACGACACCTATTGAACCCTTCTGCTCACTCCAGTTTTTCCCAAACGAGTGAATGACGTTCCTGGCCTAGCTGCTCTCAGCTGTGTAGGGATCTGGTTAAGATGGTAAAATAAAAAATGTAGTTAAGAGTTCTCGATTCTTTCACCATCTGCTCCTCCACCTGAGAGGTCACACCAGCCTCTGCAGTTGCTCATTAATACTGTTGCTACAGAACCTTCACGAGCAAACAGAACCATCTTTTGTGGTTTCCACTGTAGACCATCTGGCAGGTCATATGCTCATGTTCGAGGTGAGTTTTTTCAGATGCTACTTATCTTGAGGGTTTCGTTGTTCCTCTTGGTAACGTCCTAAGCAGGGTATACCAGAGGTGTGGCAAAAATACTCCTAAAATAGTAATCCTGAGACCCCCGGGTGCAACTTGAGCATTATTGCATAATCTTTTAAAAAGAAGGAACTGAAAGACGGAAAAGAATTGTCTGTACTTGCTCTACATATTATAGTAAATCACAATCAGGGAAGAAAAAGCTACAGAAGACCAGTCCACATTAGGAAATACTACATACACCTACCTTCTTGAAAGAAGTAATGTCTGAATGCAACTGATTTTCGTTTCTTTTGGTAAGTACTCTTAGAATCTCATTATTTATAGTCCTAAGGCTTTCACAAAATCTATTCTAGAATGAAATTATTTTAATTCAGACTCATCTATAAATTGCCCTGCCTAATTTATACTTTTTGTAGGAGAAGATTGCGTGGTGTGACGTCATATCAGCACACCTAGTACAGGACCTGTCATTGTAAATCACTTTTAAAAATGGAGTTGTGCTGATTATTTGTTCAGGTCACTAGTTTTATACTGTGTTCCCAAAGATAGCCACCGCCCTTTGTCCAACGTTTCGACTAGACATATGGATTGTGAGCAACAAGTTCATGTCCTTGTTTCCTCAGGAGCCACAAAACCAAACTGTCCGTTTATTTGAAGAGCAGAGGACATGTCCTCTAATTTTATCTTCACCTCTGCAGGCTTTCTAGGTGCTTGGCTCAGAGACCCGAGTGGGGGTGAAGGAGGAGAGTTCAGGGGCAGGCAAGGAGCGTGCTGTGGTTTTCTGAGGGACTGTTTTCAGGGATTTGCTGTTGGAGAGCAGATTCTTGAAGGTTGGACCAGTTGGAGGACCCGGGCTTGCCGTCTGTCAGGGGTTTGTCTCAGAATGACTGTGCTGGTCTGCTTTTGTGCTTCTGTTCCCTGGGTGGCAAAGCTACACTCAAGCATTGAGACAGAGCATTCTTCTCCCAAGGTCACGGAGCTGGAGTTTCCTCTCAAACTGGGGTAATGGCTTGTGTTCCTCTTTTTCAAGATAATGGGAAATTCATCCGAGTTCCAGAAAGCAGTCAAGTTGGTGATCAACACGGTTTCATTTGACAAAGATTCCACTGTCCAAGTCTTTGAGGCCACAATAAGGTAAAATTGTACAAATGGGCTTGAAGGCCTGTGTGTGTGTTATGTTTGTGTGTAAGGAGAAAAATTCCTGAAGGATCTCTCCTAGTTACACGCTCTGGAAAACAGACCCATGTAGATCATTTGGCTACCTTGTCCATGCTTCCTTTCCGTTCTATCAAAAGTGGAATAATTGATGGATCAGAGTCATTACCTTCTGGAAGAAGAGAGAGAGCTTATTTGTATTTCTATAGGGTGTGTAGGGTCAGCATCCCCGAAGTGCACATGTATGTGGTTTCTCTTTATGTGTGCTCTCCTCCCTGTGTCCCCAGAAAGTCTTGACACATTTCTGAAGAAAATGAGTTTCCCACTGTGATTGACCTCATTCTCATAATCTGTCTTTTCCCAGTCTCTCTCTCTGTCTCTGTCATGTATTGGGAACATACTTTATACAGGTTTGTATCATGCTTTTACATTGTGACTATTTTCCTTAAACTTTTTGAAAATTTTACTAACTGCATGAACTCAATTTATTTAAAGCTTACTTAAGAATATACTTGCTCTGAAAAATGTCACCGTCCCCTTCAGCTGGTTGGAGTGGGGCAGAGCCTGCGAGGGCATAGAGCTAAGCGGGTAGCCTTCTACCTGTTAGCTGGCCACTGCCTGCCTGTCCTCATCATGTCTCCTGACCGGATGCTGGAGAAGTCCATCCGGTGCTTGGTTACATACAGCTTCTTAGTATTTGTTGCTTTGTCCTCCTCTCTTTTTTGTACAGCGCACTTATTTCCCCAGACAGGGTCACTCAAATGTAATTCAATAATGCTCAAATACAAGGGGACTTAAAAAGATGTGTGGAACCTTGCTCAACACCTAACCAGTCCGGCTTTGCTCCTTTGCCCCGGACCTAAGACATTCTGGACTCGTTCTGTCCTCAGTTGTGGCTCGATGTAATGTGCACAATAAATCATCTCTTCTGCTGTCTTGGCTGAAGAATAAAAAAAAAAAAGATGTGTGGAAGAATGCTATTGCTTTTCATGTTCACACAACCTTTTGAAGCCCCTCGTTGGACATATGTACAGTAATCTGATAAGAATTTGTGCAGTCTTTCCTGAGGAGATGATCGAGACCACCAAACATGGTTCTTACTTCAGGCACGATGATATGACATTGATTTCTTCCCCTCAGCAGTTCACTGAGGACGGCTGCTTATGATTAGGGCTGGAAAGACTTCCTGAGGCCGGAAGTCCCACCCTCCTGATCTAGTCGGTGCTGAGTCCCATAGGAAGCAGAGCCCTCCTCTGTTGTTCTGAATCGGCTGGTGTGCGTTTCCATTCACACGATTATCTACTCCATTGTTTCTGTTCCTCCTGTCAACAGGGTTCTGGGCAGCTTGCTTTCTGCCCACAGAATCATAACTGACTCCAGACAGCCCTTTGGCAACATGACCATTCAGGACTATGATAATGAATTGCTGCATATGGCTCATGATCTGGCCGTGCGACTTCTCCCTGCCTTCGAAAACACCAAGACGGGCATTCCTTATCCTCGGGTAGGTAGGGGTAGGTAGACGCCCTGGTCGCATTGAATGACTTCCTCTCTTTCTGAGTTAAAGCTTTGTTGACTTGCTGACTAATTTATCACTAGTTGTTGTTGTTGTTATTGTTGGTGGTGGTGGGGGTATCGTGCGGGGGGAGGGAGTAAGACTGAGGTGGCAGAGAAAATGGTCCCATATAGGATGTGTTATTAATCCATTCAACAAGAACATAGTGCCTTAGTGTGTGCTGAGCATGAAGTGACATATGAAGGGACTTCAACAAGCCTGTAGAAAAATGGAATGAAAGATAATGGGATTTTTTTCACAAACTGCTTTGAAGTCTCTTGTGTCATTCTTAGAGATTCCCTGAAATAATTGATTTTCCCAGGTCTGTGTATTCTCTGTCCCGAGCTACAAAATTGTATGAGGGTTTGGCTACCTTGTGAACGTGGGTATATTTCTCCAAAGATCACCATGGATGTTGTTGGAGCCCAGTGGGTGTTCTTTGAGTGCTTCCCAAGGTTCTTCCATGAAACAGAAAGCCCATGCTGACTGATGACCTAGGTGGTCGCTGATTCAGCCCAGGATTTAGAAGGAGATGGCATCCTATGGCCTCTGAGTTGTTGAGTTCAGAACTCCTCACGGGACAGAGTCGGTGCTTCTGGTAACCAGCAGGGAATCCCCGACTGCAGAGGATCAGGCTGTCGTCAGATTTTCACCGCACCTTTTCCCTTCCCAGCCTTGGTGGTTTGTGCCCCCCAAGCACGAGTGCATCCAGAGTAGCTCACTTGCAGTGTCTGAGTGGTTCCCCCACCCCTCAGCTAGGTGCGTGTGGAGTCATGAGAAAAAGGCAGTGACTAGCTGTACAATAAGTCCTCTAAGACTTGCTCTTCTGAACAAGACGAGGCTCTAGTATTCTCATCGTCTGGCTTGTTTGCTGTCCATGTGGCTCCTGCCTCCCCCTTGGAGGCACAGTGGGAGGCAGGAAGCCCATGCACACTGCAGTGAGCTGCATTCCTTAGGCAAGGGTGCTGCCAGCGAGCTGGTCTTCAGCCCTGTGGAGTCCTTGAGTTTCGCCACGAACCCTTTGTCTCTTCCTGTCTCCAGGTGAATTTAAAGACAGGCGTTCCTCCTGACAGCAATAATGAGACGTGCACAGCAGGAGCTGGTTCCCTCCTGGTGGAGTTTGGGATTCTGAGCCGACTGCTGGGGGACTCCACGTTTGAGTGGGTGGCCAGACGAGCCGTGAAAGCCCTGTGGAACCTCCGGAGCAATGGCACAGGGCTACTAGGTGCGGCGGCACCTTCTCTCTCTCTCTCTCTCTCTCCACTGGGGCTGTGTGCATTTGGTCCCTCTTCCTTTGCCATCTCTGGGGCTCTCCCACCTCTCTACTCATTTCTGAAAATTAGCCCTCAGTGTCTGCTATATCCAATTTCTATTGACCTTTTGCTTAGAAAGAGGCTGTGAGGTTTGGTGGGAAAGAATAACGCATATGCTGGTTGAGAGCTAGCTCCCTTGGATCCCTTGGCATCTTCCATTTGAAAATCATTGTTAATGGAAATGGTATAAAAAGAACTGCCTCAGAGGCAGATTTTGGTGCTTTAATCTAGGGCTCTAAATATAGTGGCTTTTTCCCTTTAGAAAAACCTAGGCATTAGGAAGTACATTGAAAACCCAGATTAAATCCTTTTTGGACGGGGTTCTCCCTAGCTCCCCCAATAATGTTTGGTCAAGATATTATTAGAAAAGATTATTTTGGAAAATTTCAAATATAGAAAAGTAGAGAGAAAATGCCATGAATAATGAACTCCTATGTACTCATCACTCATCCATAATGATAAGTATTTTGTCAACTGAACATACTATCTCTTACAGTCAAAATGTCCCAGAGATAGAAGACCTTCCAACGTTTGTGGAATTCCCAGTCTGACTGCCATTGCTGTGAAAAAGGGGCCCAAACACAACTGATAAGACAGTTTGGGGGACACTGATATAGCAGTCTTGAAAAACAATTAAAACACAGATTTATTAGAATTTAGCTCTCAGTTTGGCCTCTAGACTTTCTGTTGTCTGAAATGGAATTCTTCAAAAGAACATAATACCCAAGGCCAAACTGGCTTATTAGCTTACCTTGACCATTGTTTGAGGAAAGGTGACTTTTGGACAACCTGTTTCTTCAAAAGGACACTGACACCTTAGAGCAAAGGGCCCAGAAATCTGGATTCCAGGAAAATTGGAAACTGTTGTTCACATCTTGAAATTGGTTTTTGTCCCATGCAATTGTCTTATGTTGAGAAATATTTCCCTTTTGACATTTGAAAGTCATTTGACTTCTTCATTTGAGAGCCAAAGAGGATGATTGTGAAAGTCTTGCTTTTAAAGCGTGATTTTGGATTATTAAGTTCTAAAACTATTCACAGATAATGTTGTACTTAACCAAAAAATGAACCAAAAATGTTACCACAATTCCAACACTGCAAATGGTCAACTTTTCCCCTTTTCCATGGAGGATTTCTGGGGTTGTGGTAGGTTACGCATCAGGCTACTAAGCACAGGATCTGTAGCTCAGACACACCAGCCACTGTGAGGGAGAGAGATGAGGCTTTGCATTCCCGGGAAGATTTAGCGTCTTGGAAACCCACATGGCAGTTCTCTGTCTTATGGGGCTGTGATGAGTCGTAATTGACTTGACAGCAGAACTGACAACAGTCAGTTTAGGTTTTTGGTTTTTCCTTTTCCGCAGGCCCCTTTCAGCATGTACAACTTGTGTGTAGTTACAGATCGCAGCATAAATCAACATTGTTTTCTACCTTGGGTTTGACAGGTTATTTAAGAGTGTCATATTGTTGCCTTGTGTGTGTGTGTGTATTTTAACAGCTTTATTGACATAACTTAGGTATACAATTCAGTGACTTAAATATACTAAAGAGAATTGTGTATTCATCATCAGAATCAATTTTGGAATGTTTCCTTTATTTCTTGTATCCATTATTATTAGCTCCCCTGTTACCTTGTTTTTGTAGTTGTCTCTAAAAGCCACATGATCTCTCCTAAATTTCTGATGAAGGCCACTTGGATTATTTCCATTCTCTCCCCTCTCCTTATTTTATGGATAATTCTCTGCTGAATAACGTCAAACTGTTTCTTAAATTATATTTACTTTGTTTTGTTGAGAATGCACACAGCAGGACACACAGCAACTCAGCAGTTTCTCCAGGCACAGTGCAATGACCTTGAGGACGTGCCTCGGATTGCACGGCCTTCTCACCCTTCTTCACTGAGTCCTCCCCTCATTCACCTAAACCCAGTACCCTGTCACTCCGCCAAGTCCAGAGTCCAAGAGAACTTGACATTTTGTTCTGTGTGTATGCCTTTGTTATGAGGATTCTCCTATGGAATCATTGACCAAACTGTTCAGTCAAAACTTTATTTTATAGAATATTCCTATTTAGAATACATTCGGGATAATTTAGATTTTAGGCTGTGAGCATTCTTTTGGCTCCTGACATGGTTGCTGAGCAGGACAAGCTAGGTGACAAACCTGTGTTTATTTTGCTTTTAAGTGCTCACCCCCATTTTTGTGTTGGCATCTCTACACTGTCTGTGCTACGGATACTAGCCGTGATATGATGGCTAGAAGTTTTGGGGCCTGGCATTCTCTCTTCTCTGGCTAAAGATCAAGGAGCAGAGGAGCACTGGGGTTGGGGTGGAAGGCTGGGATTTTGGGGAGCTGAAGTGTCTTGTTTGTTTTTGCAGGTAATGTTGTGAACATACAGACGGGCCACTGGGTTGGAAAGCAGAGTGGCTTAGGTGCTGGCCTGGACTCCTTCTATGAATACCTCTTGAAATCTTATATTCTCTTTGGAGAAAAAGAAGACCTGGAAATGTTTAATGCTGCATATCAGAGTATTCAAAACTACTTAAGAAGAGGGTATGAATGGCTCTTACATTACCCTGTAAAGCAAATAGAACACATCTAGTGTATTCACACTTCTCTCCTCAGAAGTTGGCAGAATCTGTATGTCACTGATTCCATTCCCTCAGCCCCTAAGTTAACCAAGCCTTGTGTGAGTCATTTGGGGGTGGAGAGATGAATTAGCTCACTACTGCTGTGGCAAATTACTCCTAACTCTAGTGGCTTAAAGCAGCAGATAATTTAGCTCACAGTTTCTGTAGGACAGGGATGCAGGAGTTTACTTAGTGGGGAAGTTTTGGTGAAGGATCTGAGGAAAGTGCCGCCAGGCTGTTGCTGGTGTGATTCAGGCTGGAGCTCCACTTCTCAGTTCACTTGGGTTTTTTGCTTGGCTTTGGTTCCTCACTGGCTGCCGGCTGGAACCCTCACTTCCCTGTCATGTGCACCTTTGTGCAGGCAGCTGCGGTAGCTGGCTTCCCCAGAGGGAGTGTTCTGACAGGAAGGGAGAGACCACAGTGCAGGCTGCAGGGTTTTCCCTGGCCACCCCTGTCACATTCTGCCATATACTCTTGGTCTCACAGGTATCCCTCCTCCTGGCGCAGGAGGGATACCTGGAGGAGTAGATTGTTGGGATGTCATTGTGGATGCTGCCTCCCAGGGGTGACATCACTGTGTGGACTTGGCTTTGCTTGCAGATAGAGCTGCAGTGCAGGAGAATTCTCTGCTAATTTTGGTTCTTTTACATGCCAGCGAGTTGTTAGGGTGGTCTTTATACTTGATGAAAAAAAGACAGTTACCATATTTCCCCTAGTGTATTTCACAACAAATTGACTTGCTGCTTCTGCATTGTGCATCCACAGATGACTGTGTGGGCTGCAGGGGCTCTTACCCTGCTGTCACCCCTTTGTCATGGATCTGTCTTTGCATGTGCCTATGTGGGAAATGGCCAGTGCAGGTTAGAGCTACTGAGCTTCTTGCTGGGTGGCATTTTTTGAGGCCCATTTACACTTTAGTCACTGTAGGACCCACTTGTATGACTGTTTGGTTTGAACAAGAGTCCAGGCATTTATGCCCAAACTAAATTGATTCTCGCTCTTTAAGGCTCCTGCTTTAATGGTTTTCTCTAGGCCAGCGGTTCTCAACCTGTGGGTCGCGACCCCATTTGGGGGGAGGGGGGTGTCGAACAACCGTTTCACAGGGATTGCCCAATTCATAATAGTAGCAAAATTACAGTTATGAAGTAGCAATGGAAATAATTTTATGGTTGGGTCACCACAACATGAACTGTATTAAAGGGTCACAGCATTAGGAAGGTTGAGAACCACTGCTCTAGACCCATGCTGTTGACCTTTATCATAGAGGAGGCTCTTCCTGATATAGAAATCACCAGGCTTCCCACTCTGGTCAAGGTTAACACAGACCATGTTAGACTGCATATTCTATTATGCCTTAGGCCTTAGTGTCAAAGTATTCTTTGCAAAATACAGTGGAATGCTGATAAAACAGTTGAGTCTAGGACTTTTGTTTTTTAGTAGGTGCCCTCTAGAGTCTGTTGTAGACAGGTAACCGAGGTTAAAGCCAAGTTTGGGGAATAAGTTCGTGTTGCTTCCATTGAAATGAAACCACCAGGGCCTGCTGTGGGAAGCTCACTAGGGCATGGTGCCTGGTTCCCAGAGCCAGGAGCTGGGCTGCTCTGCCAGCGACCTTCTTTCATCTGAATGCTTTGCTTGGTTTTGTAGTCGGGAGGCCTGTAATGAAGGAGAAGGGGATCCCCCACTCTACGTCAATGTGAACATGTTCAGTGGGCATCTGATGAACACCTGGATTGACTCTCTGCAGGCCTTCTTCCCTGGACTGCAGGTACTTGGGGGTCCTATTTGCTAAGAAAGGAACACAGTGGTAAAGCCTTCAGCTGCTAAACGAAAAGTCAGTGATTCGAGCCCACTACCTGCTCCACAGGAACCAGCGGAGGCAGTTTGCTTCTGATGTACAGGCGCTGGAACCTGATGAGGGCAATCTCCTCTGTCCTGCAGCGTTGAGTGTTAGGATCAGCTGTACCGGAACAGTTTTTGGTTTTAGTTTTGGGCATTTGCTAACGAAGGAGTACCTGAATGGTGCACATTGACAAAGGCTGGTGGTTTGAATCCACCCAGAGGTGCCTTGAGAAAAAAACCTGGTGATCTATCTGCTTGTGAAAAGTCAGCCAGTGAAATGAAAGCCCAGGAAGCCCAGCTCTGCCCTGGTGCACATGGGCTCTTTCCAAAGCCACTGGTTATTTTGTAAGAAAACCTTTTATGGAGCAGTGACTCAACTTCACATTGTGTTTGAAGCTATAAAAGAAGGTAAAGTGTTTATTTTTTGTTTATGAATTTAGAGGGACAGACAATTTCTAGGCACCCACACCAGGAATTGGGCATTTGCTGGAATTGACTCATCAGTAACCAACAGCATGCTTTAGTTGGCAATAATTATGGCTAAAAATGATATCCAGAAGTGGGAGCTTTAAAAAATTTTTTTTCAAACTTTCAGGTAACCTCCTCTCCCAATTATACCAACAGAACAGGAGGAGTAAAACTACATATAATGAATATCAAAACCAATCTCACTGCCGTGGAGTTGATTCTAATTCGTAGTGAACATATAAGGGTTTCTGAGGCTATAGATCATTGCAGGGACAGATAGCTTCATCTTTCTCTTGAGGAGCCACTAGTGGGCTTAAACCACTAATCCTGCAGTTACCCGTCCAATGTTTTCTCAATTGAGCAAATTCAGATGAAATCTCCCTGTTTACTGAGTTCAGAGATACAGTCAAAATAGCTTTCAGACAGAGGATTGCCTCTCACCCTCCTGGGCTGTGCCTTTGGACCATGCATGCATTATTTCTGGTCCTCTTACAGAACTGCAATGACAGGCTTCTTTCCATGCAGAACAGCTGGCGCAAAGGTGGGCGGGCCCATGTCTGGTGGGGCAGGGCTTCAGATGCACGTCTTTCTGATTCCTTCTGCTAAACATTGGGCTGAATGTAATAAAAGACTGAAAATGACTAACTTGTGAATTTACCAGTCAAGTCATGTAGTCCCCTGAGCGTTACATGTTTAGACCTGAGTGTCCACTTCAGTAGCCACCTGCCCCTTGTGGCTGGTAGAGTGAGCACTGAAAAAGTAACACAGCCCATCACTCTGAGAAGGATCACACCAGAAGGTCCTGGATAGAGGGGGAGAAAAATGTACAACAAAACTGAAAACCATGAAAGGGACCAAGCGTAGGGTTGATAGGGACTGGTGAAACTCTTTTAGGCAGCATTTACCGAAGGACAAATTCTGAGTATCAGAAAAGGCAGAATGGAAACAGGAGGTACAGGGAGGAGGTGAAATAAGTGATGGTACACTGAGAGGATCGAAATGGATACGTCGAAACAAATTGTTTATAAAGTATGGAATGTGAACTAGCATGATCTGCTCTGGAAACTTTCACCTAATTCCCAATAAAATGTTAAAGAACAATGGATGTATGCATGGATTATGATAAGAATTGCACGAGCCCCCAATAAAATGATTTTAAAAACAACAACAACAACAAAATTAAAGAAAAAGAAACATGAAAAAAAAACTGAACAAAAAAGTAACTTAAATTCACACCAGACTTGAGACTTACTACCAAAAGAGAATGTAACATATCTGATTATTAATTTTTATATTCATTACATGTTCATATGATAACATTTTAGATATATTGGTTAAACAGAATTAATTTACTTGATCTTTCTTAGTTCTTTTTCCTTTTGTCAGGTGGCTACTAGAAAATTTACAATCACATTGCGTTCTTTTAAGGTCCATCTATCTGGGATCAAATTGACAATACTCTCATGAAGAGATTGGGTGGGAGTGGTGGAGAGTGGGGACAGTGAGCTGATATCAATGGAGGGGTCCTATCTGGGAGAATGCAGGGAGACAGTTGGCAGGACTGAGAATGTTTATTCCTGGCTATTTGTCTTCTCAACCACACCAAATAAAAAAATTTATAACAATGAAATAGAAAACTTTTGCAAATAATTACATTACGTTTCTATTGGAAAGCCCTGCTCTGGACTCTGAAATGATCTAGGAGACTAAAATTGTTCTAACTCTAAATCTGACCCTCCCATCTCCCCCATCTTCACCTCAAGGCCACCTAGCATACCAGCTGTTGTGCAGACTGGCAGGTCTCACCCAGTAATAACTTCTCTGAGGCATGTCGTAGAGTCTGAGGGCACTTTATTTTTTAGATCTTTTATTAAGGGCTCAGACATCCATTGTATCAGCATATCTGTACATATGTTGCCATCATCATTTTCTAAACGTTTACTTTCTATTTGAGCTGAGGGCACTTTTCAAGAGATACTTTCTGGGAAGAGAGTAGCCGCAGCCTTTTCAGGAAGTCAGATAACCAAACCACCAACTCACTCTGCTTACCATCTCCCTAGGTTCCCATATGGTTTACTTGGTAGGAAAGGTGTGCGTGCATGTGTGTGTGTTAGGGGCAGTGAATTTCCAGAGTATTTACTAGCTCCTACTGGTTAGAGGCCAACATCAATCTGCCCCAATGATCCTCTCTGTGGAATCAGCTCCCAGATGTGGAACAGAGAGAGCCATACTAGATCCATACATGAAAAAAAAATTGAGTCAGAGTTTGGCTAATCCACTTGTCAGTTAT